AAAGAAAGAAAGAGAAAGAAAGAAAGAGAAAGAAAGAAAGAAAAAGAAAGAAAGAAAGAGAAAGAAAGAAAGAGAAAGAAAGAGAAAGAAAGCAAGCAAGAAAGAAAGAAAGAAAGAAAGACAGAGAGAGAGAGAGAGAGGGAGAGAAAGGCAGAGGAGAGAAAAGGAAAAAGGCAGGCGTTCCCTGCTACGAACAAGCGCTGAGTATTTCACGCAGGAAAACACCAGAAAGCGAAGAAAGAAAGGGGGAGGGAAGGGGGAGGAGGGGGGTTAAGTTCTCCACAGGTTCCAGTGAACCTTAAACAAGCTTCGGTCGCTGCGACCGCGTACGGCTTGCCCGAAGGCTGCCACCTTTGACCGCTGCGGTCACGTAGAGGCATGAGCCAGCTTGGAATTCCAAAGATGAGACAAAAATCTGAGTTCTCTCGGCCTAGGCCACCTTCGCCCGCTCTGGGCACGTGCGTTTCCAAAGCAAGGGGAACAACGACAAACCCCCGTTCGACGGGTCCACGGGAGGCACTCTACGGGCTCATCCCGGACTCTCACTAGGAGAGACACACTTAGAGGAATGCGTACTGATATGAATGCGGCGCCACACGCCAGCCTAAGTCTTTTAAAAAGGCCTGAGGAGTCAGGAAAACAGTAGGTTAAAGGCCATCGGTTTTGGGTTGGAGGCCAACGCAAGACTGTTGGGGGCCAAGGCCTAAGGTTGGAGGCCATCGGTAGGAGGCGGTGGACCATAGACACAAAGTGACAGCGAGAAGCAAAGTTGGAGGTCATTGCTAGTAGGTTGGAGGCCAGGGTACCAACTTGGAGGCCAGTGCTACCAGTTTACAAAAAGCGCAAGAAGCACAAAAACACAAGACAGCCAAGGTTGGAGGTCCTCGCTAGTGGGTGGAGGACAGGGTACCAAGTTGGAGGCCAGCGCTGCCAGTTGACAAGAAGCACAAGAAGCACAAGACAGCCAAGGTTGGAGGTCATCGCTAGTGGGTGGAGGCCAGGGTACCAAGTTCAAGGCCAGCGCTACCAGGTTACAAGAAACACTAAAAAACACAAGACAGCCAAGGTTGGGGGCCAATCTAGTGGGTGGAGGCCAAAGTTCAGGTTAAAGATCCCATTACAAAGTTATAGGAGGCCTACCTGCACACATAGAGTTTGAAAAGCGTCCGGGCCGTTTGTGGTGCGTGGGTGTCCGGGAGCATCAATTTCTGGTGTGCGGGGTGTCCGGGAGCATCGATTTCTGGTGCGCGGGGGTGTCCGGGAGCATCGATTTCTGGTGCGCGGGGGTTGTCCGGGAGCATCGATTTCTGGTGCGGGGACGTCGGGGGCATCGAATTCTGGCGCGCGGGGCTGTGCGGGAGCATCGATTTCTGGTGCGCAGGGGTGTCCGGAGCATCGATTTCTCGCGCGCGCGGGTGCCCGGAGCATCGATTTCTGGCGCACGTAGGTGTCCGGAGCATCGATTTCTGGTGCGTGGGGGTGCCCCGGGAGCATCAATGTCCGGCGCGCAAATGGTTCCGGAAGCATCAGATTCTGAGTCTCCTGGGGTGTGTCTTGATGCGCTGCATGCACTGGAATGGTCGGCTGTTGTGCACGGAGTTGCAGGGAACACGAACTTGCAGTGCTTGCGGTAGTTCGTCATGATGAACAGGTCGGAACAGGTCGGGAACAGGTCGGAACAGGTCCGGAACGGGTCGGAGCAGGTCGGGAACAGGTCGGAACAGGTCGGGAACAGGTCGGAACAGGTCGGGAACAGGTCGGGTGTTAACAGGTCGGGAACAGGTCGGAACAGGTCGGGAACAGGTCGGGAACAGGTCGGGAACAGGTCGGAACAGGTCGGGAACAGGTCGGAAGAGGTCGGGAACAGGTCGGGAGCAGGTGGGAAGAGGTCGGGAACAGGTCGGACCAGGTCGGGAACAGATCGGAACAGGTTGGGAACAGGTCGGAACAGGTCGGGCAGGTCGGGAACAGTCGGGAACAGGTCGGAACAGCCGCTTGCCAAGAACTTCAAAACTGAACTGGTTCAGTTCCGGCCGGTTTAGTCTCAGTTTTTTAGAGTTCCGGTTCAGTCCACACACCGGTTAAGAAGGTTCCGGTTCAGTCCGCGACGCCAGTTTTTGAGGGTTCCGTCCATCCCGCACACCAGTTTTCAAGGGTTCCGGTTCAGTCCCCGCGCACCAGTTTTCGAGGGTTCCGGGCCAGTCCGCGCACCCGGTTCAGTCCGCGCACCAGTTTTCGAGGGTTCCGGTTCAGTCCGCGCACCAGTTTTTGAGGGTTCCGTCCATCCCGGGCACCAGTTTT